CAGTTGCACGTGCACTGAACAAAATGAACAGAATTCGCAAGGCAAACGCACTTAGGCGCAGCAACCCAAACCACAGTGGGCAGGCCGCCGCGCGCGTTGAACGCGCGGATGCTCCGAAGTGAGTCGCCAGGGCGGCGCTGGACTCCGTGGCCGGCCTGCGCAAGCCGAACGGCTGAGCGGCCGGGGCCAGCAACAGTGCGCGACAGGGGGGAAACCAAAGGCTGTACAGGCGTTGTAGGCTGAACCACTCAGCGCCCAGTCCTCAGCAATCCGCTTCCCAGTGCCGAGGGGAGAGCCATGCGACTGTGCCCAAGGCGCAACTGCGCGGCGCCGCCTCCTGAAGCGGGGAGAAACCGCTGGCGTGGGGAGCACCGCCGTCGAGTGGCGATGGTCGGCACACTGGTGGTGGCGACGTCTGCGCTGCCTGCCAGGGGGGCCCTGCTGCTGTGAAGCTGAGGTGGCCAGCCAACGCAGACTGTCGCGTGGCGCTCCCCCTGCGCCCTAGCGCCGACACGCGCCGCGTGTCCCCCCAGAGCCGTGGAAACTGTCGCTGGGGGGGCCGAGTAGGACCGCGAGCAGCGCGTACCACGGCGCGAACAGGGAGGGGGGGTCACAGCCCTAACGCAAGCGCCGCGTCGGGCGAGCCCTGGAGCCACGGGCGGGGGGCACCCGCCGGGCCTGGGAGGGGAAAGGCGAAGGGGCGCAACGCCTCGCCCCGCGGCCAGGTGCCCTGCAGCCGTGGGCCGGGGGCCGCGGCCTGCCACATGGATCGTCCTGGGGGTCGCAGCTACTCGCCGCAAGCACCTGCATGGAAGAAAGGGGGGTCGCAGCTAATCGCTGCTAGGATCTACTTTGCACATCGTGGGGTCGCAGCTAATCGCCGCTGAGATCTCCGTTGAATGTGCGCGAACGGGTGACGGCCCACCGAGGCCGCAGTCAACTGCGAACGGGTGACGGCCCACCGAGGCCGCAGTCAACGCGGAATGTGGGCCAGCAGCGAGATGCGCCCCTGGGAGTGGGTCCTAATGAGTCGCAGCTACTCGCCGCTGTAGCTGAAGCTGCCAAAACTGTAGCCTGAAATAACAGGCCGGCAAGCTGGCGCGCAGGGGGGGGGTGCTTCTGCCGACGCCCCCCTGTCACCGAAGGGTGGGTGGCTGTCGCCGTTGGACAGCAACGCGGGTGGCGCGCAGGGGGGGGTGCTTCTGCCGACGACCCCCTGTCACCGGAGGGAGAGCGGCTGTCGCCGTTGGACAGCAAAGTGGGTGGCCCCGGGACCGGTCAGCCCAGCGGGCTGGTCCCCTGATGAGCCAGGGGGTGAAATGTCAGGGGTGGGTCCACGTATCCAGCGTGGGCTGCCTAGCTATGCCGCGCCTTGGGTGAGATGTGGGGCGGCCCCCGCCCCAGCGGATGTTGCCCCAAGGTATTGCGGCCAAGGCCGGGCGCTGCGAGGTGACACAGGCCCCGACGGGGGGGTGGAAGGTGGTGAGGGCGACGGAGACCGCTGGCCAGGAAGGCCAGGGGTGCGGTGACAGGTTGGCCGGGCCCTGCTAGCCCTGGGCGTAAGAGCCCCCCCTGGCCCACCATCGGGCGCGCTTGTCCGTGTACCGGTGGCCCCCCCTGGGGGAGCACCGCTTACCTTTTCCTTTCCAGTCCGTGTCCGTCCATGGGGCTTTCTGCTGGCCCCAGGAGTCCCACTCCTGCCAGTCCTGCCACTGGCCGGGGGCGGCTGAGCCGATGGCGCCTGTCCATCGGTCATGCGCGGCTGCAGCGGTGGCTGTTCTGCCCTCTGCTGTCCATGGGGCGGGTCTTCTGTTGCTGTCGTGATCGCGTTGAGCGTGCGCTCGGGAGTCGCGGTGCATGAGCTTCATGTGCTTGTCCTTGACAGAAGGCCAGTGGACGTTGAGCCCTAGCTCACTGTCCATCTTGTAGGCGTCGTTCCCTGCGTCATTCCGTGCCTGGAGGAAATCGTTGCGCGACTGGACTGCGTTCAGCTTGGGGTCGTGCTTTTGGCTTCCGCTGAGCTCCTGCATCAGGGCAGCCCTCTTCGCCCATGCGGCCCAAATTCCATTGAACGCTCCCCCCGGCGACTTTTGCGGGCGTATTATCCTATCCTGCGCGAGCTCATTCCTCGCAACTTCTGCAGCTGCAACGGGGCACATGTACATAGGGATGCCTCCCATGGGGTCGTTCGGGTCTTCGCGGGGCGGCTGCGTGGTCCTTATGTCCTTCCAGGGCGCCTCGTAGATCTCCACTCGCGCGGGGTTGCCTCTTGGAGATTTGCTGGCACGGCCTCCGTCCTTGGTGTCATCCCACACGGGCCGTTGGCGGCCCTTGTCCCCGGTCGCGCGGCTGAGGATGCGGTCGTCCCTGGCGCCGTTGATGCTCCAGGTTGAGCTGCTTGCTCTTTGTGGGCTGTCTCTCGCCCTCCTAACTTCACGGACGGCGTCCCGATCTACAATCCGATCGAATGGGGCCCAGGCGTCGGGCCTGTTGGGTGGGTCCTTGAAGAGGTTGAGGGGGTCAATGCCCTCCTCCTCTCCATCGTCCGCCACAGGGGGTGTGCTGACCGCCGGTCTCGAATCCTTGGCTGTGTCTGACTCGCTTTTCTTGTCTCCGTCCCAGTCGATCCCCTCCGGTTCGCCTTCGCTTCTGCCTGCCTGATTGGGTGGGCCCCTCCCTTCCGTCGGAGGACCGCCTCCCCCGTCTACCCCTGTAGCGCGGGGGTTTGCTCTGGGAGCGTAATCAGCGGCGTCCTCCCGCACAGGTCCGTGGCTGTCCTTTGGGGGGGGTCTACGGTTTCGCCTGCTCTGTTCAGCCAGGTTGCTGCTGGGGATTCGGCCGCCGCTGTGGAGCCTGTGTCTGCCTCGCGTGGGTCTCGGTGGGCCAGTGCGCCGATGGTTCCGTAGACAAGGGCGGCGCGGTCGATTCCCATGAGGCATGTCAACAATTTGCTGATCCGTTGGCGAAGGGGGCACTGTCCTCGCTGCTCGGTCAGGATGGCAGCGCAACTGCACCACATGTCCTCGTACTTCTCGTTGGACTTTGTTAGGTGGTAAACCACTCGTGCCACTGCGGCCCGCTGCCCGTCCCATGGGATGTTGGGGGGGTGACAGTTGCTCGGGATCGTTTCCCCGTAGATTATGTCCAGGAAAGGGCGCAGACGTGCAGGGGACCACGATCCTTCATCGGTCTTGTCCCCCGTCATCCCCTCACGGTGTTGCAGCACGAAATCAGCCCAACGTTTGTAGACAGAGTGGTTCCATTCGAGTAGGTACTTCACCAAAGACGCATGGGGCCGTCGGATTCCACCCCGGTGAGCCTGGAGGTTGAGTGGGTTGGTAGAATGGGGCCCTCTGGCGGGGAGACGTCGGGGAACAGGGATTTGATGTCACGTGCAGCCTTCTCTGGCTCGCTACTTCCCCCTACTCCGCTGTCGTGTTTGCTCCATGCCGCTGAGGGTAGGCTCGTCCCCGGTGGCTGTTTGCCTTGAGTACGTGTCCTTGGCAGCTGCATGGACGCTAGCTGGGGAGAGGTAGACGCTGATATCGTGGCTTTCCGTTTGCACTTCCGCTGCTGCTGCACGCTTGGCTGGTGCGGTGGGGTATACACTGGAGGAGTGTTGGTCCAAGATGCGGTCGAGCGTGCCGGGCGCCACGTTCCAGATGTGGATGAGGCACCGTCTGCAGGCCCACGCTGCGTTCCACTGCTGCTGGGTCCAGAGCGTGGGCATAGTGCCCCATGGCGGTAGCCCTGTCTCGGTGTTGCACGGCGCTCCTGGCTCCGGGCTCCACATGAAGCAGCCAAGGGCGGGGCTGGTGACGGACCACACGGGCAGGGGCGATCCCGCAGGGCAGGTGTCGCACTTGGCGGAGTAGGTGTTCGAGCGGTGCGAGTCGGGCCCGAATCTCCTGTCGGACAGCTTGTGAGCTGGTAGGGTGGTGCCGACCGAGTGCGGCCTGTAGACGGGGGGGTGCTCATGACAAGGTCACGCAGGCTGGTGGGAGTCTGCGCTGTGTGCTGGCGGGGATACTTTCTTGATCTGCGGCTCCAAGGACGGTTCCAGAGAGCGGGTCAATCTCGACAGGGGCGCAACGAGAGACGATTGGTAACGAAGGCACATAGGCCAACGCCGCAATGCACGTGCGAGGGACAAAATGAACCTCATTAGAGCTGACCCGGGAAAGGAAGGCGGCAGCAGACTAAAAGCCGGTGAAGGGTCGCACAGTGGCGCCAGCCCCCACAGACCAAGCCTGCGAGAAGGCAGAGCGCTGTGCGGGCGGCTGGTGGGGATACGCGAAGCGTGAAGACTTTGATTTCGGAATGGAGAACCTATGTAGTACAAGCTATGTGATATCGCTCTCTCTCTCTCTCACTCTCTCTGTCTCTCTTTCTATCACTCTCTATGCATACGCCACCGTGCCCTGAGGCACGAGAAGGAGTGTCTTCAGGTCCCTTGCAGATATTCGTCCTTAGTCGAAAAGGAATGAATGAGGCACGGAACCCACATTGCCGAATTGCCCGAGGCCCCCCGCGTGCCATCGCGTGTTCTGGAGTCGCTATTTCGGAGCCAAACGGGCCCCAAGACAGGCCAAGAGGGCCCCGAGATGCCCCCAAGACGGTCTCAAAGCGGACCCGATCGCCGAAAGATCGCTCCAAGACGCCAAGAAAAGCCTAGACGGTCTAAGACGCCCCCCAACCCCCCCAAGCGAGCTCCAAGATGCCCTCCGAAAGGGCCCCGAGAAGCCAACATAATTTCAGCGTTCCCGTCTTTTCGTGATGTCGACGCTCCAGGACGGCTCGAGGGGCCTCCAAATATCGTTCCGAGACAGCCCCAGAGGCCCCGGGAGGGCCTCCAGATGGCCAAAGAGGGGCCCAAGACGACCCAAGACGCGGGCCCCGACAAACCCAGCGGCAATGCAGGCCGGCCAGCCCCGCCGCCCGGCGGCTGGCCCGCCTGGCGGCTAGCCCGCCCGGCGGCTGGTGCCCCCCGAGGGGCCGACTGGCATGGTTGCGCTGCTGCGTTCGCTCCACACCTTGCTCCCCCAGTGGTACATCTCCAGGCCGATCGGGCTCGGCGCGACGGCCTCTGGGGTCCTTCCGGCTGCAGGCCGCGGCGGGTGGAGCGGGTGAGCGAGCAGGCAATTTCATCAGACCTTCAGCCAGACTTGCTTTTCCATACCGACATTATTATTCAATTCCCTTTTCCGGGGGCCGTTGGCAAGCCTCGGGACAATCAATGGACCATCCAATACGCATGGTTTGGGGATGGGGCGCTGCCGCACTGGAAAGGGCCGAGATCACTGGAGGCGCGGATTGAAACACACATCGCTAGATGCCTGGGTCATCGCCAGCGAACAGGCAACACAACAATCGGGCGAGCATTGAAGCCACCACAAGACTGTGGTGTGGGAGGAGGACACATACAACGGTGATGGTGAACCGAACAACAGGAAAAGTAAGCATTATTATAATTCGTGCAACCTCCACCGATGAGCTTCAACACAGCACAATGCATGTTCATAGTGTGCGCGGCTTCTGCATGTTAGTGATGCATGTTCTGATGTCTGACATTCGTCTGGTATTGGTTTATCCGCCAACCCCTTGTGGGTCTTCAGGCCTGTAATATTGGTTCCGAAGACTGCGCGTTTGACATCTCCCCCAAGCCGCGATTGACCCCAGGCCGAACTCACCACGGGGGGGAGGCGGGCTATTCCGGGAGGGTTTTGACGCTCAGAGACAGCCCTGAGCTCTCCAAGACGGACCACGAGGGCCCTCAGAGGCCTTTCAGATGGTCTAAGAAAGCTCCGAGTCGCCGAAACATCGCTCAAAGGCGCTCTAGATGTCCTCCAGACGGCTCAGGACGCCTCCAACACGCCTCCAAGAGTACTCCCTGGAAGGCCCCAGGAGGCAACAATGCTTGACTTTCTGTTGGTTGTTCTATGACTTTCTCGTTGTCGCCTTTGCGGCGGCTTCCCGACGCGCTGAGGCAGCCCAAGAGACCCCAAATATTGCCCCAAGGCGGCCCACAGAACCATTGAGTGCAACTGTCTTGGGGCGGCCCTGGGAGGACGAGGGAGGCTCAGGGCCCTCAAGAGGGTCAGTGGTTTGAGGGGGCGTACCTTGTGGCGCACCGGTGTTTTACCGTCCGCGGGCAGTGGAGCGGGTGTTGTGGGCATGACACATGCGACTCTGATGCAGCTAAGCTCTTCTGCTGGTGAGCTTGTGGGGGGGCCATAAAAATGTGTTGTTCCCCTCACTGCTTATACGTGCACCCAATAAGACAGGATGTATGACCCTTGATGCCACTTGCCCGCTCGTAGCCAGATATGGCAGCTGGGTTTGGAATGGTGGGGCCTCTCGCAAGATGCTTAGAGCGGCTTGGAGTGCCATCATGGCTATGCTGGGCACCCAGGGCTCGTGGAGGCAATGCTTTGGTCCGATCTCGGCTGTCATCCTGTCTCTGCGTTGGATTGGGCGGAATGTGGTGGCGCCTCACATGTTCAGCACCGATGCTTGTGAACACATCTCTATGTATGAACACTCTCCTTTCGAGGTCAGGTATTGAGTCAGAGATGGAGTGGAGCGCCGGCTGTGGCGTAGAAGCCCTTTTCATTGGCCTGAAGCTTTCAGCAGCGAGTTCTGTGGGGCTCGAGTGATACGACTGGCTATCTTGGCCCTCCCAGCTGGTGCTCGTCAAGGGTCTCTCAAGACTCTACAGGCTGGTAGACGTTGGCCGCCAGCGCGCAAGTTTGCTGCTGGCCTGTTTTCTTTTGCGGCCCGTACTTTCTGCCCAACTCCGCATGGCACCATGCCCTGGCGGGGGAGAGGGCAGCGGCAACCTCGGCTTTCCTGATTATGTGTGGGACCACAGGCAGGCCTTGCAAGAAAACGGGGGAGGCATTCTCGGGCCCGATTGGGCTTATGTTCGTCTCCTGTATGGCTTCCCGTCTCTGTACGGTATCCGCCGGGGCCGTAAGCGATCCGAGGAGGAGGAGGAGGTGGAGGAGGAGGAGGGGGAGGAGGAGATGGAGGAGGAGGAGGAGGGGGAGGAGGAGGCCAGGACATTCCCCTGGCGACCGACGCTCAGGGCGTCTTCGAGGCGGCGGCGACGGCATCGGCGGCCCGCGGGCGGCCTGGCCCCGCGCCTGGGGGCGCGTCGGGCCTCGCCTGCGGCGCCCGCTGTGCCCGCCCGCAGCAGGGCCCTCCTCCTCCAGCGGGCGGGGCGTGTCTCCCGCGCAGTGGCCCCTGGGCCAGCCGCCCTCCTGCGGGCGTTCCTGGCGGGGCTGGCCTCCGCGCGGGTCTCCTCGCTCCCATTGGTGGCTGGGGCGGCGGTGTGGGCTCCGCCAGGAGCTGCCTCAGCGTCGCCAGCGGCAGCACCTTGGGCTTGGGCGGGCTGCATCCCCTGGCCGTCATGGCTGGGCTGGACCTCGCTCTCTCCCTGGCGGCCTCCAGCGCCCTCCTGGCTCCCTCACTTCACCTCTGGCTGTCGTCTGGCTCGACCTGCTTGAGCTTCAGGTTTGCCTCCTTCGGCTGGCACTGTCTGATCCTTGCTCTCGGCGCAGCCGCCACCTCCAGCAGCCGCGTCGCCCTCACCTCTGCCTCCTGCTCGCTCATCTTGGGCTTGGGCGGCCTTGGCGGGGAGCGTGTTGCGGCAGCTGCAGCCTCCTGGCTTCTGGCAGCTCTCCGCTGCGCTTCACTCCGCCTCTGGTGGGGTCTGTCGTGCCTGCCCAGCGCGTCCGCCTGCTCCAGCGTGCGTCTCCCAGCGTGGGGCCCGCCCCTCCCATTATCCCTCCTGGAGGGGCCTCTGGGCACTCCTGGTCCCATGGGTGGGAGGGGGTCAGCGCGCGGGGGAGCCTGGTCGCTGTCGAGCACCGCGGCGTGGTCGCCATTCTCAATCCCTCCAGCAGCCACCTCTCGGATTCTCCTCAGGTCATCCTCGATGTTGCTGTCCTCTGGCTCGGGCGAGGTCCCCCGACTATGCCTCTCGCTGTGTTCGCGGTACACGTGGCATCCGCGGGCCAAGCCCTCCCCCTCGCGTTCAGTCTGTCGGTTTCCCAGGGTGTGGGTCCGCTCTGTTAGTTGCGAGGCCCTGTCTACCACAATGTTGGTCACGAAGTCCGCGTCATGCTCACTGGGCTCGTCAGGGACCTCCGCCTCGAGACCTTCTGTTGATTGCTGCAGCTGCTCCTCTTCGATGTGATCTTCGCGATCTGCGAAGGGGTCAGTGACCGTTTCTGACCATCCTGGTGTCTCTCGAATCTCATCCTGCTTGTTCTCTGGCCACATCCTCCACTCCTCTGCGTCTGCAAGCTTGGTCCAGCTCTTCGGCAGGTATCCCCTCGACTCGCAGGTGGGGCGGAGGCGGCAGGGTGCCTGCAGCTTGTCCGAGACCATCTCCGTGGCGGAGCTCGCACAGAGCGTGCAGAACCAGCGCCTCTGGCGGCCCAGCCATCGCAGGGGGAGCGATAGGTGCGGGGTGTGGCCGTTCAACTCAATGCACCTGCCTGCCGCTGGGGGCGGGCCTCCGCACTTTTGCTCGAACCACTCCTTGATGCTGGATAGGACCGTCGCCGTCGTGACTGACTGGTTGCAGCGCTTGCACCTCCACCCTCGTCCTCGCCTGAGCTTCACGAGGTCGCGCGTGGTGGCTGGCCTTCTGCGGGGGTCTCGCGCGAGGTAGTCTGCCTTGACCTTCCTCTGCGCTCTCCTCTGCATGACCGCGTGGCCTCCTCGCCAGCTTCAGCTCCTTGCTCTCCGCCGGCCTCCGCTCCATGGCGTCCTGGGCGCAGGCCGCAATGCGCGCCCTGACCAGGCTCGCCGTCGCCCGCACCCATTCGTAGCAGCCCATCTGGTTCTCAGGGATGGCGTGCTGCTTGGCTCCTGCATCGGCCAATGTGTATGCCTCTCGGTTGCCTTCCCAAGCCTCTCTCGGGATGTGTTTCTCCGTCGCCTCCGTCTCCGTCAGGTGGCTGTTCAGGTGGCACAATGTGATGATCTCCCTGCCACCTCCTCTCTCGGCGATGGCCCTCCGCACGCGGCGCCAGAGGTCGCAGTTGGCTGCCCCTTCTGGTCTCTCATCGCGGCGTGCGTGCCAGCCGACGAGGGTGATCTCGCTGTCCGTCCAGAAGGTCAGGTCTCCGCACGTCGACTCCAGGCAAATGGTGAGCGACCACAGCTCCGCCCTGTTGTTGGACTGGCGCGTGCCTGGCAGCGGTCCAAACTTCGCGGCCCAGGTCGGGAAATCTCTGGGGCGCCCTTTGGTGTCCAGCATCACCCAACTCCATCCGCATCTCCTGTACATCACGTCGCTGCTGTACTCGCCGCCTGAGCCGTCCCCACAGATGATGAGCTGCCCACCCTCTGGGGCTCGCAGGTCTGCCCCCCTGCATGCACTGCCCCAGCGGCGTCTCCTGCTCCTCCGTGCTGCACGGGGGTGGCACCGTCCAGGCCTTAGGCGTGAGCCCTCTGAGCCAGAAAGCTGGGGCTCCCGCCACACCTGCTTCGGCTCTCGCGACGAGTCCTGCCGTCTTCTCGACCGCCTCCGAGGGCTTCCTCGCAGAGCATGCTCCCCAGATGCGGTGGAAGTCGTCCTCGAGCTGTCCGCACTCGCAGGTCTCGTCGCCCGAGTTGAACTCCTGTCGCTTCCTGGCCTGCGTCCATGTGCCTGCGCACGCTGCCGCAAGCAGCGCCCCGTAGGTCTGGTGCTTGCCGCGCTTCCTGAGGGACTCCAGGTGCTTGATCATATCCGAGCAGTCCACCCCGTGCTCCATGCCAGCGCCGTTGTGGTGCTCTGCTGCTTGACTCCACAGCTGCTTCCTCACGCTGTCCAGGAGCGCCTCGATGATCGCCTCTGGGTCTCCGTCCTCCTCGTCCTCTGGGAATCGCCATCTGCAGCCGTCCTCGTCGATCCAGATGTCTGGCCCCCTCGAGTCCCAGCCTAGCTCCCAGAGTAGCAGGATGATGCCGCCCATCACTCCTCGCCTCTGCTGCCAGCGCCGCCTCGGGTCCGTCCGCAGGAGCCTGAAGTATACCCTGGGCCAGGCCTTGCGCGCTT